TGTATACAGTTAGCACTCCCCTCCCTGGAAATTTTAATAGAAATGACATTCTGTAAATTTTAAAGAGGGGAATTTGAATCACACAAATCCAAAATATTTCTATGGGATGAATTCAGCTTTGTTTATATTTCAACTTAAAGTATTCAGTAGAGGTTAAATTTGACAGTCAGGATTCAGTTGCTGAGACAAATTGAGTTGAATTGAATTGAATTGACTTGTGTTGAATGGAAATTTGAATTGAGTTAAACTGAACTGAAATGAAATGAAATGAAATTGAACTGAATTGAACTGAACTGAGTTAAACTGAATTGGATTGAGTTAAACTGAACTGAACTGAACTGAATTGAAATGATATGAAATGAAATGAAATTGAATTGAAATGAGGTAAACTGAATTGAATTTAAAATAAATGAAATGAAATGAAATTGAATTGAATTGAATTGAATTGAACTGAGTTAAACTGAATTGGAATGAGTTAAACTGAACTGAACTGAACTGAAATGATATGATATGAAATGAAACTGAACTGAACTGAACTGAATTGAAATGATATGAAATGAAACTGAACTGAATTGAACTGAATTGAAATGAGTTAAACTGAATTGAATTGAAATGAAATGAAATTGAGTTGAACTGAATTGAAATGAGTTAAACTGAACTGAATTGAATTGAAATGAAATGAAATTAAATTGAATTGAATTTAACTGAATTGAGTTAAACTGAACTGAACTGAACTGAACTGAATTGATGGCCTCTCCCTGCCTCCACAGCCTTGTTGTTCTCAGACAGTTTTGCATGGCAACAGATACGAGGTTATGTAAAGATGGCACATGACAAGTTTTTACTTGTCATCCCGTGCAGCCAAACAATGATTCATCTATTGCAAGATGCAGCTTCAGCAGAGCAGGTCTGAGGTTTGACCTCAGGAGCTGAGATTTATATTGTGTTGAAACCACAGAGTATAAAACACAATTACAGTATCAAAAACACAGTAACAGTGTCAAACTGTAAACCACAGTTGCAGGAGAGCAGTTATACTGTAAAGCTCATTCATTTTACGGTAAAACTTGACAACAGCAAAGCTACTGTAAACAGGTAATAGCAGTAACTTAATCTATAAGTTCAATGTGTGCTCAGTGACAACAGATCGTCTATCAGATTACTGTTGTTGAAGCAGCCCAATGTAGACAAACTGGTTTTAGAGGAGACAGCTGTCTGATTAGTGATGGAAAATCCTGGATCGCAGCCATGTTTTCCTGACTAATCTGGTTTGGAAGTGTTTTTGTCCAACTGCCAAACATAATGGCACGTTAATCAAGTAATTACCCGCTCAAGTCTGGGACATGTCTGCTCACACACATCACATTTTTGAAAACATATGTGATGCATATAAAGTACCACATGTGTTAGCTTAACTCCACTACAGCATTCCCTGAATACATAGTACTATGTATTAGAAGTTATAGTTAATAGTTATAATGGTAACGTACATGATCAGGTCATAAGATATAAGCCATTATTTCTGATTAATGACCAACAGTTAAAATGAGCGTCATATACCAGTAATAACACTGGCGGGGTCATTCTGCTGATGTTCTTTTACTCGGTGGTGCAGTTTTGAAGACCTTGTACTTCACTTGAGTATTTCATTTTTGGCTCCACTATGTTTCAGCTGCAAATATCACACTTTTTACTCCACTATATTTATTAGATGATTATAGTCACTTTGCAAATTCTGATTTTACAGACAAAATATATGATCACATCATAAAACATGATGCATTGCTGTAGACTAAACAACCCATCAGTGTATAAACTAGGTAAAAATAAACAAAGACATCTACCAACTAAAATGCTGTCTACATTAATGAACCATAAACATCCAATAAATCAATATGTTTGATACTTTTTTGCTGACAGTGCTTCCATACCTAAGTGCTAGTTGAGTAAAATGACTTTCAACTGAGTGTTTTAAACTGTGTTATCGCTACGTGAAGTTTCTGAGCTCTTCATGCACCACTGTTTTAAAAGCTCATAGAGTATAATCTACAATAGCATAGCACAACCTTTTATACATACATCATACATAAACACATAAACACTAAAAAGAGATTTTTCTGCAAAATATTTGCTTCATGCGATATGTATTTGTTCAAAACTACTTAAGTGGATTTGAGATTGTTTGTTTGAGATTTAAACAGATTTTTCACATTTTATTTTGTTAATCTGAGACTTTATAAACACCAGGAGTCTTCAATGTTTGATGTATAGACTACCTAAATTATAGACTTTATCTAGTATGTTAGGGAAAAATGCCACAACATTTGCTCTGATTGGTCTAAAGTCCTGAAATCTGGTGCAGACATACGTTGGGCAAGTATTTAACAGTACAATTCTGAAATCTTTAGATCATAAAATAAAAAAAAATTAAAAAAAGCACACTTATATCAATAGTCGTTGTGTTCAACAATGTGTTTATTAAATGTCCCCCATATGAAATATCTTTTACACTGCATGTGCGTGCATATCTTTGACATTCAACGAGTTCACAGCAGTTGTGAAATGCAACTTAGTACATTTACTTACATTATTATTCACTTACTTAGTACAACTTTGAAGTACTTGTACTTTACTTGAGTGTTATCATTTTCTGCAACTTTAAGTGTACGACCAAGACAAGGAGAAAACCATAAAAACTTCAAGAACATTTTAAGGAAACCTTAAGGAGAAGACTTCAGGATATTCTGTGCAACTGATTTTATTCTGAGGAAATCTTAACGGGACTTAAGGGAAAATAAGGTGTAACTTAAGGTGTTTTGTGCAACCGGCCCAATGTACTTTTTTCTTTCTTTCGTTCTTTTTAAATCAGACTATTGCTTATTTTGACAAAATATTTAATACAGTGTGACTTGTTTAGATTTGTGTTGAAGAAACTCAAAATTTTAGTTGTGGGCACAAATAAATTCTGTCTGGACAAGGAGAAAAACGTAAATACTTAAGAGAACATTTTAAGGAAACTTTAGACTTTCTTATCACACTATATCTAGTCTTTGGGTACATGGGACAATTGATTCTTTATCCACAAATGTATTAAATACATTTAAAAAAGAATAGTGTCATGTGCCCAAAGATTAAATACAGTGTGATTTATTCAGATTTGTGTTTGAGGAAATTCAAAATTGAGTTGCAGGCACAAATAAATTTGGATTTTACATACGAAGAAACAGGAAAAGACAAGGAGAAAACCATAAATACTTAAGTGAACACTTTAAGGGGAAATTGAGGAGAAGACTTAAGGATGTTTTTTGCAACTGATTTTATTTTATCATACTATATTTTGTCTTTGGGCACATGGGACTATTGGTTCTTTATCCACAGATGTATTTAATACATAAAAAATAATAGTCCAAAAAAAAAAAGTGATACAGTGTGATTTATTCAGATTTGTGTTTGAGGAAATTCAAAATTTTAGTTGCAGGCACAAATAGGTTCTGTCTGGACAAGGAGAAAACCATAAATACTTAAAAGAACATTTTAAGGGAAATTTAGACTTTCTTATCATACTGTATTTAGTCTTTGGGTACATGGGACTATTGGTACTTTTTCCATACATGATGATATGCCCAGAGATTAAATACAGTGTGCATTTCTTCAGATATGTGTTTAAGGAAATTCAAAATTCAGTTGCAGGCACAAATAAATTCTGATTTTACAAATGAAGAATAGGAAAAGACAAGGAGAAAACTATAAATACTTAAGTGAGGAGAAGACTTAGGGATGTTTTTTGCAACTGATTGTATTTTAAGGAGACCTTAACTAGGACTTCAAGGGAGCTCTTAACTTAAGGTGTTTTGTGCAACCAGCTCCAGATACTATTTTTATCATACTATATTAGTCTTTGGGTACATGGGACTACTGGTTCTGTTTCCATTCATTAAAAACAAACAAACAAACAAACAAACAAAAAACAGTAGTCCCATGTGCCCAGAGATTAAATACAGTGTGCTGATCTCAGTTTTTAGCCAATTTCTTCGGATTTGTGTTTGAGGAAATTCAAAATTCCAGTTATAAATATAAATGCTTAGAACATATGTGAGATTGTGTAACTGGGTCATCTCATTTCTATTTTTTGTTGATCTGAAACGAGAACAAACTGTCCTGTTTACATGAATCAGGTTTCATCAGTAGAGGGCGCACCACTTGTTTATCAGTGCCAGTCAAAATGTGTCTTTGTCTCTCCTGAGGTGTCACATTATAAATCCCGTCCGTTTTGCTCCCTCTGTGTTTTTCCATGGTCCACATATGAAGGGTTAGCTAAAGCTGAAAGCTGCTCAGCCTGCGGGGGTTTCTCTCTTTGTGTTTTTCACCGCAGTGAATGAGAGACTCCCCTTTCATCACGGGCTGATCACGGACTGATCACGTTTTGTCTTTGGGCCAATCAGAGGCGGCAGAGATGCTCGGCAGCTCTATAAATCCAACGTGGAAGCGGTGAAGGAAGCAGGAATGAAAAACAATAGAAACCTCCACGAAGACCACGCATCTAGAGACTCTTTTAGTCTTTTGATATTTTTCTACACTTAACATAAGGTAAGGGCTTTCTGATGACTTCATTATCACACACATCAGCTCATGGATTAATTACTAGAGGAGAAATTGTTTTCTATTTGTGTGCTGCTGAAAGTTTCCCTTTGTTTTGACCTGCTATGTTTGTTTATTAGGCTGTGTGTTGTTTGTGTTTATGTTGCTCTCCATGTCTCCTGTGTCCTGAGCACTTACGAGTCAGAGCAGATGAGTAGTCAGGTTGCAGGATGAATCACTGATGGTGGTGTTGTATAATCAGACATAATGTTATTTTTCCTCATCAATAACATTTAGTTGAACCTTTTCTGTCAGCCTTATGTGCTCTGCCACATCCTGTCTGGCTGTATGATATTTTATGTTTAGACACAGTGGCTTCATTGTGTGTTATCCTCACGTCTCTGTAGGTTTTGGTCAAGAAAATGGCCACCTCAGCAAGTTCAAAACTGAACAAAGCTGTTAAGCAGCAGTACATGGACCTCCCTCAGGGGGACAAGGTCCAAGCCATGTACATCTGGATCGATGGGTCTGGAGAAGGGGTGCGCTGCAAGACCAGAACTTTGGATTCTGAACCCAAGACGATAGAGGGTAAGATCTGGCTCCGGTATCATCAACACATCCACAACAACAAGACTTTGAAGTCACTGATTTCAGTTGTTTTTCTATGTCAGATCTTCCTGAGTGGAACTTTGATGGCTCCAGCACCTACCAGTCAGAGGGCTCCAACAGCGACATGTTCCTCATCCCTGCAGCCATGTTCAGGGACCCGTTCAGGAAAGACCCCAACAAGCTGGTGCTCTGTGAGGTGCTCAAGTACAACCGCAAACCGGCAGGTGAGCACAGGAGAACGACCCTGAGAGGCACTGCAGTTAAAGAATGAGAATCTGGTTCATTGCCAAGTACGCATGAAAAGAATTTGTTTTGAGGCATTGCCATAAATCAATAAACGTAAATATAGAACAGATGATATTTATGATAAAAACAATACTCTAAAAATATGTACAATATATCTGAATTTAACCCTCTCTGTGTTCCTGAAGAGACCAACCTGCGCCATACCTGTAAGCAGGTCATGAGCATGGTGGAGAACAACCACCCATGGTTCGGTATGGAGCAGGAGTACACTCTCCTGGGCACGGACGGGCATCCCTTCGGCTGGCCCTCCAACGGCTTCCCCGGTCCACAAGGTGAGAAGCTTGTCTGACTGTTTGTGAAAATTTAATATCAGAAATCCGAAAGGCCAGCTGAGTTTTAACATTTAGTTTCCTTCCACCTGATTAGGGCCTTATTACTGTGGAGTGGGAGCAGATAAGGCGTATGGTCGAGACGTAGTGGAGGCGCACTACAGAGCCTGTCTGTATGCTGGGGTTAATATCTGTGGCACCAATGCTGAAGTCATGCCAGCTCAGGTATTTGTCTTTTTTACTGTTGTCCCACTTCCATTGAAAAAAGCATTTTCAGTTGTGAGATTGTGTAATACCAGTTAATAACGTGGTCTCTGTTGTGTTTCAGTGGGAGTTCCAGGTTGGGCCTTGTGAAGGTATCAACATGGGGGACCACCTGTGGGTTGCTCGCTTCATCCTTCACAGAGTGTGTGAAGATTTCGGCGTGGTGGCGTCCTTTGACCCCAAACCAATCACAGGGAACTGGAATGGTGCCGGCTGCCACACCAACTTCAGCACGAAGGAGATGCGAGACGACGGAGGACTGAAGTAAGAATAAGCTTTCATTGTTGTAAATAACTCTGGTATGATGTTTGGGTTTTGTGCGAGTTCCTCATTCCCTTTTCTTCACAGAATCATTGAGGAGTCGATAGACAGGCTAGCAAAGAGACACAGGTACCACATCCGGGCCTACGATCCCAAAGGTGGGCTCGACAACGCCAGGCGACTCACTGGCCGCCACGAAACTTCAAACATCGACGAGTTCTCAGCAGGCGTGGCCAATCGCGGCGCCAGCATCCGCATCCCTCGCTCAGTAGGGCAGGACAAGAAGGGCTACTTCGAGGACCGCCGTCCGTCCGCCAACTGCGACCCTTACATCGTCACGGAGGCTCTGGTGCGCACGTGTTTACTGAAAGAAGAAGGAGAGGAGCCCACAGATTACAGCAAATGAACAATCTTAAGACCAAGTGTCATTACCAGTACTGTGTTTAGCCACGTCTTCTTCAAGACTGTATGGATCCAAGTTAAATTGTTAACATGACAGATGAAATAATTCTTAAGCTATTCCTGCATTCTTTGTGCATTTACTTGCATGCAGAGAGTTTTTACCTCTGGCACAAACACTGCCAACACATTTTGTTATGGTAGCTGATAACTTGTATCGAATTACATAACTGAGTGTTTTTAACCTGTACTAATGAAAAACATTATTTAAGTGCAGCAGGTTTTTGCTGTAGAACTGTGACCCAAAGGATCCCAATGGCATTTGAATGTTTTTAGCAGTCGTGGCTGCTGACTGTCGCAATGGTGGTTTTTATCATGTTGTGGATGTTTAAGGTCAAAATGTCAGCCAATGTTTTTTTGAATAATGAATATGTCTTTTGTCTGTTTTTTCACTTGTAATTGTTAAAAAAAAAAAATAAACGGCTAACATTTTTAGGTCTGACTTTTGACTCTATTTTAATCCTATGTTTTGCTTTAAAGGTCCAGTGTGTCGGATTTACAGGGATATTTTGGTAGAAATGGAATGTAATAAGTATGTTATCATTAGTGTATTGAAAATAAGAACCATTGGGTTTTTATTACCTTAGAATGAGCTGTTAATATCTACACAGGGAGCAGGCTATGTTGCACCCCCATGTTTCTACAGTAGCCCAGAACAAACAAACCGAACACTGGCTCTATGTCGAGACGTTCACATTTTCAGAAAAACAGATTTGTTTTTTTTTTTCATGTGAAACTGCTTTATTCAGTATTTTTATCCATTTAAATCACCAGGTCTGTTTGTTTTGGAGAGGAAGAGACCTCTGCTAATAATCCAGCTTCTTGTAAGATAAATTACAAGAAAAAAAGGTGAGCACACATTAGCAGATGCTCGTGATCAGTCTCCAAAATGCCAAACTCACTAAGGCAGTGGCTTCCAACTGTCGGGTCACGGGTCTGTTCTGAGTGGACCACAGCTGACTTGCAAACATGTCAAGTTTGTCAAAATTACATTTCGTTATGAAGTACAGTGAATTTCCATCACAGAGTTTGTATTTTGAAGTGTTGTTTCGTGCTGTAGAGTGAGTGACAGATGGACAACATACTAGCTCAGCGAAATGGTTAAACACAATTATGATGCTGAATATATTAAACTGTGTGGAGCTTCAACTAGCAGCTATGGAGAAATCAGGATGTCATTGCTGGATCAGTTGGGATCCACTGGACTGAGGCCTGGGTCTTCAACAAGGGGCACAGGACTCCTAGGGGTTGCCAAATTATTATGATTTTTTTTCTTTTCAAAAATGAAAATGTCTGAAAATACACATCAATACACCTTCACCTACCTGAAAACCAAAAACAGGTCAAGACTGCAGCCTGAGGCTGATATGGCCCTTTGCCTGGCAACCTCCATCTGCCCAGTTTAATATGCAATGTAATTTTATACTATATGTTGATGGACTAAGAGTCTCATCCTACTCTCTAATGTGCTATGTGTGAGCTCAGTCCTGCGTGTTCTTTAATGAAGCAATAGGAGAAGATATTCGGTCTCAGTTAATGTAGTTTATTAAGCAGTAAAGGAATAAAATTACAGAGCTCTGGGTCTCAACTTCACATCCCTGACGAACAACAAAGGTGTGTCAGTTCACGAAGTCTGACCTCCTGTCCTTTCCCTGACCCAGTATATTTGAGCGTAACAGAGTGTCATTGTGCACGCAAGGCGTTGTCCTCTTCTCATTGGCAGTTCCACTTCCTCCTTCACCACACCACGCCCCTGCCTCGTGTTAATCTGACTCCTTCCCGCTGGCGGTGGGGGCGTGGTTCCCGTTTTGAAAGACAAGAGAACAACACAACTCCCTACATGTGCTGTACCTTACTATCTGTATATCACTTTCTATTCTTTTTACCATATATGAAACTAATTATCTAAGCATTGCGATATGTGCTCCTCAGACTTCGTGTCTCTTCCTCTCCTGTACTTCTCCACTTCTGCAAAGCAAACACATTCAGATCAGCTGAAATCATCTCAGTATTCTCATTGTTCACACATCTAAAACTTATATAGTGAAACACAACTTATAGTAAAACACATAACATCATTCTATTCCCAACAATGTGTAGGAGGGGGTCTGTTTTTCTTTTGTCAAAGGGGTCCTTTGACTGTTTAACTTTGATGAACGCTACACTGAGGCAAGGACGACTCTACAATTCAGATGATTATACACTAAAAAACCTACTTAATAATATATTTCACTTATGCCAATATATCCCCAAAACACACTGGACCTTTAAGTTGTGTTGTGACACAAGCCTGTTGGTCACATCCACTGTCAGCTGATATGAATCTCTAAAATGTGACCCACGTTAAAGGAAAATGCACTGTAATGTTCAACAAATGGTGGCTGATTAAGACACGGGAACATTCACATCCCCCCGCCTGTTCAGACAGCTAAATAGACAAAGTGGCTGTCTTCGCTGGAAGGTCAACATGACGTCAAACCTTCAAAAGAGTTGTGACAGTTTTATCTTTTACTGTGAATACAGGGATAAAGGGCACATGAGCGCACTGACTTTGCTGACTCCTCAGGACTTGATCCTCTAAAAGTAAACGATAGTCTGGTATGTTGTTTTGACACAAGTCTCAATAACCTATGGACTAGTTTTTTTTAAGTAGGCCAGGAGAGTAAAGACAGCCTGGGGAGTTCCTTTCAAAAGAACACCTGAAAACCTACGGAGAGGGACGACAATTAATCTGGAGCAGTCAGTTGAACAGTGCACTGTACAACTCACTGTATCACATTAGCTGCATAAACAAGTTAATGTATTATTTCATAATTAGTGTACACAGTTACATAAAAACATGGTCACAGTTACATAAAGACTTTAACGGTCTGAGTCAGTGACGTGACTGCTTCTGGTTTTACTTAATGTTACATGTCATGCAGCAGTTCTTATTGTGCAACTTACAAACTTGATTTGAAAACATGTTGACTCCAGTAAATGCACTGAGTTGGTGAGGGACAGTCATCTGTCATGTTTAGGCACATCATAATTTCTTGCCAAAATCAAAACCAAATGCTCGATGGCAGTTTAATTACAAATGTATTTCATGCTCCTACTAATCTTAAAGGGGAAACAGGTTTTCTGTTGTGGTTGACACGTTTTCTCTTTCCATTGAATACAGAACAAAAGTTTAGCCCAAAATTTTTTTAATGCCTCCATGCTGGCAACTGCCTTGGCCTGAGGCATTATGTTTTTGGGTTGTCTGTCCCATTCTCACTGGATTCTCATTGGACTCAACAATGAACTGATTAGATTTTGGTGGTCAAAGGTCAAGGTCAGTATGATCTCACATTGGTCCTGTTCTTATGAACATATTGTCAGTGCCTTGAGGGAATTTCTTCATATTTGGCACAAACATTCACTTGGACTCAGGATGAACTGATTAGATTTTGGTGGTCATTGGTCAAAGTCATTCTGACCTTGTGTTGGTCCGTGAATGTGATATCTCAAGAACACAGGAAATTTCCTAGAATTTGGCACACATGTCCAATTGGACACAACAGTGAACTGACTAGATTTTGGTGTTCAAAGATCAAAGTTATTGTGACCTTGCATTGGTCCCATTCAGGTGAATGCGATATCTCAAGGGTACCTTTGGCAAAATCATTCACTTGGATTTGATGATGAAATTATTAAATTTTGGTGGTCAAAGATCAGGGTCACTGTGGCCTTGCATTGGTCCCATTCTCATGAACATGATATCTCAAGAACACCTAGAGAATTTCCTAGAATTTGGCACAAATGCCCACTTACATGGATACAAGGATAAACTGATCAGTATTGGTGGTCAGAGGTCAGTGTGACCTTGCATTGGTCCCGTTCTTGTGAATATGATATCTCAGGAGTGCCTTGAAGGAACTTCTTCAAATTTGACACAAACATCCACTTGTACTCAAGATTGAACTGATTAGATGTTGGTGGTCAAAAGTAAAGGGTCAAGGCTGCTGTGACAAGGGTGTTGGTCCTGTTCTTGTGATAGTGATAGTGATAGCTCAAGAACACCTCAGGAATTTCCTAGAATTTGGCACAAAAGTCCACTTGGACTCAACAGTGAATCATAAGTGCTATATTGCAGGCAACTGGACTTGCTTGCATTTCTTGAAGATGTTTCGTCTCTCATCCAAGAAGCTTCTTCAGTTCTAAATGACTGGTATGGAGTTGCAAGCTTTAAACTCTGTGTGGGTGTGAACCCTTACAGAGTCGTTGGGGTCAGATGTGGGCTCTTGGTTTCAGACTCGTTAAGGTCACAGCGTGAGTCATTGACCCACCTGGCCATCATGTGAGTTGTTAGGGTTAGGTGGGACCAGATGTGAATGGGTGTGAAGTTGTCTGGGGAGGGATCCCAAGACTGCATTGTAGGTGGGTGATAAGTGGTGTCATAGTGGTGACGACACATTATACACCTACAATGCAGTCTTGGGATCCTTCCCCAGATGACTTCACACGCATTCACATCTGGTCCCACCTAACCCTGACGTTGGTCCCATTTTCGTGAATGTGATATCTCAAGAACACCTAGGGAATTTCCTAGAATTTGGCACATACATCCACTTAGACTCAAGGATGAACTGATCAGTACTGGTGGTCAAGGGCCAAGGTCACTGTGACCTTGCATTGGTCCCATTTTCGTAAACATGATATCTCAGGAGTGCCTTGAGGGAATTTCTGCAAATTTGGCACAAACATTCACTTGGACTCAGAATGAACTGATTCGATTTTTGTGTTCAAAAGTCAAAGGTCACCGTGACCTTACAAAACATGTTTTTGGCCATAACTCAAGAATTCATACACTAATTATGACAAAATTTCACACAAATGTCTCAGTAAATAATTTTATATCCAAAAGGTCAAAGGTCAACTTCACTTTGACATCATGTGTACTGTGTAATGTACTGCAAAAACACTTTTCTGGTCATTATGCAATGTAACATCTCAGGAAAAGATGGGAAGACATTTAATCAGACACTGAATTGTTGACATTAATCTTGAAATTGTGCTGTTTGTATAGATCTTCTGTGCTGTCCGGTTCAAGACGTCTGTGAAGCATCCGTATTTTAGAATTTATAGCTTCTTTGCAGCAACATTTATATTTAAAACATTGGATGCTGTCATGGCTACATATGAGTCTGGACAGACGTGTATGTAAACTGTAACTTGACTGGTTGGAGAAGGAAAACAACCACAAGGTGGTGATTATAGTTTCTGTATGTAATAATTATTTTACAGCAACTTCAATATATGATGTAATACTGCTTATTAGTTTTTATAATCACGCTGCAGTGTTTTAGATATTTCACGGTATTTCTCCTTCTTTCCAAGTAGCTGGAGCTTCTTCAGCTCACACTAACATGAAAATCAATTTACAAAGATTTGAAACATGTATTGAGTTTGGTTTTTCGT